TAATACGGGAAGTAGGCTCTGTCATCTGTTGGCTTCGGTGTGTCTCACTACTGCGAAAAAAGGCCTCTTCCTTAACTGGGGGAAGTCAAAAGTTATGAGAAACCCATAAGGCATAGCTGACTTACAAGTGAAGCGCTTTAGGTGTTCGATGTAAGTATCTCGGCTTCATCATCTCCAGCAATGGCGCAATGCAGTCAGAGGTTAACAGGACGATCTCAATTGCCTCGAGTGCTTTCACAAACCTGCAGTATATTTGGGCTCGGAAAGGAGTATCCATGTCCACAGAAACCCGCCCGTAGCTTGCCTTTGTCAGGTCAGTGTTGTTTTGTGGCATTGGTGTAGTCCGATTGTGTGATTTGCGTACATCAGCCGGTGGTTCCGACGCGTTGTAAAGGTTAAATGACAGGACCACATAAGAAACGACTCCATTCTTTGCCGAGCACAAGTAACCTCAAACAAGGAGGTTGGTTTTTTTAGACAAACTTGTTGAGCACAAGCCATTTACTCCAGCCTATTACCTTCTTGTGTGGGAGCCGAAATACGGCAGAGGTCGGCCGAACGACTAGTATGCATCTCGGCGGAACAAGATAGCTGTGACTCTGCTTTCAGAGACGAATATTTACTTCTACGATGCAGTAAAAGTCTTCTAATAGCAAATCTGTTGTAAACACAACGGATATGGCAAACCAGAGAGATACTGTTTATGCAAACCACTCAGAATAATGATCTCAAGAAAGTTCGTGAGAAGAATAAAAATGAGAAATAACGAATATCGAGCATGACAAAGCCATGTTTAACAAATGGAGACCAGAAAGAGATATAGCTGTTGCTAATCATAACCGACAACATGACCGAAGAAAAGGAATCTTTCACAACCTTGCATGGCCACGTCATCTCTTTAACTCACTTGAAAATTGGTCATTTTAGTTTTTGCCTTTATCTTTTTAACTTAAAACATCAGGGAATTAAGGAAGCAGGGTTCCGGAAAACAACTTTTGCTCGAAGTCGCAGAGAATGAACTTTGGAAAGCGCAAGAACCTAAAGAGATGAAATACGATTCGACAGGTATGTTCCACTGGTGCGAGGCGACGCCATTCGACGAAGTCATTATGGTAAGACAAAGGCGATGATTAATTATTTTCCGGTTGTATTGAAGACGAATTTAGGACAGACGCCAAGCATCCATGACCCTGTTGAACAACCACGTTGTCGTGTGTTTATTTGCTGACCAGAACAGCCCGCTGATCGGATTAAGGAATTTCGTCATGGCTTTAAGAGCATCCAACTATCATTATCACGAGCTGAAGCACGTTGTCATAGTCGGTGACGTGGAGTACCTGAAGAGAGAATGGAAGATGATACACAACTTGCCAAAGATATCAATCCTCAACGTATAATTTAATTGTTCATATTGGTGACATGAAGTCATTGTCCTTGATTAAGGGTAATCCTCTGAGCCGTGCTGATTTGAGAGCTGTGAATATCAACGTGGCAGATATGTGCGTTATCATCTCTGCTCGAATACCGAACCCAAACGAGGACCCGACATTGGCAGACAAGGAGGCCATCCTGGCATCGCTCAACATAAAAGCGATGCAGTTTACGGAGGCGGAGGGTATTCAGCCGTTTCCGTTGAGATGCAAACTGTCGCCACCGCCTACCCCATTAGCATACCGTCCGAACGGTGCAAAGTTGGGAACCGAGATTCCCATGCTCACCGAACTTGGTAACATGATATGAAAATCATTGTTTTCTTTTCTGTAAAATCATTGTTTTCTTTTCTGTCTTGCTATACTCCCTGTATCCGAGGATATTTTTGTGCGTCAAGGGAAAATTGAGAAAATTCTCAACGAGTTTACGTTATCCAGCAAAATTTAATAGTACAATTCCAAAAACGTCACTATAAATATCCATACAGCTGCCCATCGGTTTATTACATAATCCCCTTGCTCCTAGTTGCCTAGTCGAGAGCACTTAAACAGGTTCTGGCTGAGTGGTTTTTGAATATCTAATATATCAGATGCATCTCGCATCATTTTGTCTGAAAATATAGTAATTCGTTCGTCTGTTG